TTACTCATTTTTACGTACAGATTGAGTAAGAAAAAGTGGTGGTGTCTACTGCAGTGAAAAAATGGAGGATACCGAGGGGATGTTTATGATCTTCAGTTCAGTAATATGTTAGGCCACATGCATGTTAGGTACATCCATTCATGTACTAATAAATTCAATGTGCCTAACTTAGTGTAGGGCATGTTTGGGAGTGATTTTGGAATTGTGAAAAGTGCTTCCATGAAATATAAAAAATGTTGTGCTTCCCGGGTTGTTTGGCATTAATACTGTTCTGGGTTATAATAATTGAGTTTCTCAGTGCTTTCTGGAGATTATGTGCTTTTTTATTTCAAGAACTTGAAATTTGTATAAAAATTGTACTGTGCTTCAAACAAAAGTATTTTAAATACAAAACGTTCGTGTTTTCTACATAAGCAAAAAAACACTCTCAAACATGTGCTTCTTCCTAAGTTGTATATCACTAATGGTGTTTCTGAATTATAATTGCATTTTTTCAGTACTTTTCTAGAGATCATGTGTTTTTTCTTCTAGAATTTGAAATTTTTATTAAAACTTATATATGTTTCAAATAAAAGTGTTTTTTATAGCTAAAATGCTCACGAGCATAAACATTTTCTACATAAGTGAGAAACACTACTAAACATGCATATAATCTCATTCAACGCTTAAAGTGCTTAAATTAAAATATGCAGACTGAGTTATTGAGGACAGTGACTGAGTATGTAAGATTAAATTAAAACACCCAATTAGAATGAACGGCATCATGAGATTGAGGCAAGGTAAAAGCCAAGACAGAAAAATATGGAGATGGCAAGAATCTGCCGCCCTTTAGAGGCCACAATAATTTGAGGCAGCTCACAAAATACTTCTAGGTTCACACTAGGAATTTATGATACATAAAATTTACTGATTAGTGTTGTCTGAGCTCAGAATTTTTTGCCGGCCACAGGCGGGCATGCACGTAATTTCTGATCACAAATTTTGATATGCGGCACTTGTGACCAAATCAAATCAAAGTTTTAAGACTTTAAGTAAGTTGTAAATATTATCTTTTGTTTTCTACAAGTATGAACCAATTCAAATTCAGTGCCTGCTGTGCATTTTACAGTGGTACAATCTCCTAATGTGGCACATAGACTCATAGTTGCCGCCAGCTTTAGAAGCAAACAAGCCAGTAAAATGAAAGAGATTTCTGAAGGCTCTGAAGAGTCAAACCTTGTGATCAAATGTTTATTAATTAATTAATTTTAACAAAATAAAATATTGAAGAACGCAGGCCAAGGAATACTAGGGAAGGTGATCACTTCTCTTTTACTTTGACCATTTCTTGGGAGACTGTGATTGTAATGCTCCCCCTTCCCCGCACGCCCTTGAGGTTCCATTTCCAACAGGATCTCAATTTTATATGATCTGTATTTGAAGTGAAGTCCAATATAAAACTGTCGATTTAAGGTTTCTTGCAGTTACCCAGATTCTCTGTTCCCCATCTCTTGTGCTGTTTTTATGCAAGCAGCTGGAGATGGCTCTTGCATCAATTATATATACACTTATGTGTATGTAACCATGCTGTATATAGAATACCCTACATCCTAACTTCCGCTCCTCATGCTTCTAGAGGCGCTTGTAGCTAATTTTCCGCCACTAATTGGAGTTTTACGGGCAAATCTAATGGCCACAAAGACTTCCTCTCTTGATAGTGTTTGAACCTAATCACTATCATCACCTAGTCCAGCAGATGCCACTTGTGTTAAGCTTGTGAGTTCACCACTAAAACTTTCAACATTCTATGTCCTCAATCGCCATCTTGCGTGTGACAATACGCAAACCAAACACATGGACAATGTATATTAGTTGATATAAAGCATGTGTGGTCAGTAGTGGGCTATCGCATGTGGATATATCTGCTCTGATAGTATGAAGGAATTTGAGGTTCCACAATAAAACCAATCGGTAATAATGATAGTAGCTCAGTTACTTATAAAAACATGTAAGGTCCCATATTACTTTTAGATTAGACAACACTTTGCATTACCACAAGAAAACCTTAACTTCTTTTATGGTATTGGACATGGTTTTGTCCTACCTGTTTCATGCTTCTCACCAGTCTTATTACAAAGTACGAAAATAAGATTGATGGGGGACATAACAATGTTCAATAATTTGATGTACGAATGTAAAATGGAACTAGAGTATATGCATAGAAATCTAATTCTCTATCCACACTCGATGCATTGTAGGCTGCGCAAGGATCATTGTAACTAGTAAATTAGTATTAGTTTGGACCTTTTGGTGATTTCTTAGTAAATTAATAGACAATGTTAAGGCTGTTTGTTAAAAATAAAACAAAACAAATTATTATTTTTGGGTTACAATGGTGTCCGCCGTACTCTGTGTAAAATTCCGGAGACTCTCCCGTGGACCCAACGGTCCAGAACCTGCCACGTGGACCATAGAGAGTTCATGGTCCCTCGGGCCTCTGTATACGAGAAATTTTTAGTTGTGACGGGAACACGGATGGTACATCACATGTTTTTATACAAGTGGTGGAAAATTTTAATTTTTAAGTTATTAACCTTTTAACACACATAATCCATCATTTATATTGAGACATGTAATGTACCACCTCGTGTGACGGTTACTTTGAAAAATCTCTCTGGTACGGTCATGACTCCATGCATAAACCATTATACTGGGAATAGCGGGGGTAATTAATAAGGAATAAACAAGGAACAGTTATCTTCAATTTACCATGTGACTGGCTTGAAAACTTCATATTTACTATTTAGGATGGAAATTAGTAATATTTTAAACTGAAAATATGACTTTAACCTCTCAAACTCAATTTCTTTCATATAAAACTCGACATAAATTTTTTACTCGAATAAAACCCAATGACTAGACTCCACATAAGCAAATTCATTAATTATGTTTGACTTTACACATTTAAAATTTTTCAAATGCCTAAAATACCCCTTTTTGCATGTTTAATGTGCACAATTAAACATATGTAGATTTTACGGAGGATTAATGATTTTACAAAAAATAAAAAAAAATAAAAAAGGTACTTCTAAATGCATTGCATGTTATATGAGAATTCAAGATTTCCACGTTTTGTAATTAATTTGGTTGATTCATGTTTCTCTCACTACATAAAATTTGCTTCTAATTTGATATAGGAATTAATTTGGCAAGTTTTCTTAATCTTAACAACATTTTTCAATTTAAATAGATATATATTTTTAGTGAAATAGTCTATCTTTTAAAATATTTATCAATAAAATAATGTACCTATTGTTCAAATTTTAGGATAAAAATTTACCATTTCTTATTTAACAATAATGTATCCACAATGTTATTTTTGTATGAATATAATTTACCTACTTTTTGATTTTATATGAAACTAATTTATCTACTGTGACAATAATGTATCTACAATACTACATAAAAGATTTACCTTTTTTAACAACAATAGTGTATCTACAATTTTGTTTTCATATGAATATAATTCACCTACAATTTAACTTTTCAAAAAATGTAGCTTCTATTTTATGTTTTACTATCATATCTATGTTTATGTGTTCGCAAAATACTTTATCTAAAGTTATATAGTTAAGAGATATTGTAATGCATTATATTAATCCATTATTAGACTGGTAAAAGAAATTGTTAAAAACGTTAGCCATAATGGTTGGCTAATAATGGTTGTATGAGAACAGTTATAGAAAGTTGTGGCATAAATTGTAAATAACTTATATTAATAGGTTACTTGTTTTCTTATGTGGCAATTTATTTAAATTTTGGGTTTTTATTGGATGTTGATTCATAGGTGGGTTTTTATTCGAGATATATGAGTTGCATGGGCCTATATCTAAACAACCCTATTTTAAATCACCATGTAAAAAATATATATATATATATATTTTATAAATTAATTAGATCGTTTGGTATGGAATTGTATAAAAATATATGAACGAATTTGATAAAAACATTACAAACCATTTATCTATTGCTATAATTAATTGGCTAAACTAGGGGTGGGCAAACGGATATAGGAACCACGGGTTGGGGCGGGTAATCAAGGTTCGGGGTGCGTACGGGTTGGTTCCAATTTTTTTCATAAGAGAAATGGGGCGGGGCCGGCCGGGGCTTTGAAATTTTAGGGGTGGGGCAGGCGAGTCCAAATGTATAGAAAAACGGCCCAAACCGACCCTTCTGTCACAATGCCCTCGAACTCGATTCTCTCTCGCCGTCATTCATCCCTTCCCCTCCATGGTTCCACCCACTCTCCGTCAGTCATCTCCTCTAGTACTCCAATACCATCGCCGTCGCGAATCTAGGCCATGCCAACCACCACGACGGCTCAGCAACCTCGATTGTCCTCCTCGAGTCCTCGACGACACCCTAAACTTAGAGAACCCAGACACTTGCACCACCCATCACAGGGCACTCCGCCCTTCACTAAACCTCATTAGCTAGTCTCCTGCTTTAGATTGGTATTAAGCAAGACTACGGAAACAAGGCCGACATTAAGTTCCAATTCCCAAGCTCCGCTTCTTCTTCTACCCATGGACCCGCCCCGAACCGGTCCGTTTCAAACCGGTCGGGTTAGGTCCGGTTTCCAAACTCAAAATCCCTCTACCCAACCCGGCCCGCCCAGTTACATTTTAAAACGGGTAGGGTCCTGTTCCTCCAAATTTAGGTCTGGCCCGGCCAATGCCTAGCCCTAGGCTAAACAATCTCAATTTTGAACTTATTAAATATTTTTCTTCAAAATAATTATTCGGAGGGCAAAGTACATTTTGGCTTATTGACCGACCGTTATTTACTTGCCCTTTTACCTTTTTTTAACGTGGGGTTCGGCGCTGGCCGACTTTGTGCTGACGTCACCCAGTCCATTTAGCATTTACATTCTTTCTGGGCCTTGGACCTGTCGCTGTCAGGTCCATTAGGGCAGCCCACTGCCAGTCCTCTCTCTCTGCGCCCATTATAAAACCTCGCCACTACCCCTTCACTTTTGTTCCACACAAAAATTCCCCTTTTTTCTCCGTTCTTCTTTCTGTCGATGTGGGATTCCCAAAAGCTCTCTTCAAACATGAAAGCTAGACACAAATTTCCAATCCAAGGTATGAAAAAGCTAAAACATTTTCATATATTGTATATCTTGTGCTAATATATAAAATGTCACGCATTAACCTTCGAGTTTTGATGGGATCTGTTGTACGTGTGTTTTCGCAGGCTTTCAAAAAAGCGAAGACCAAAACGGGAGCTTTGATTTTGGGACGAGCTTTGTGGTGGTGTTAGAGGGAGGAGGTGCTTGATGTGGATTTGGTGCTATCCTAGCTGAGCTTTTTTTTTTCGTCTACATCCGTCATGACCATATCCTTTCATCTTCTACTACTTTCGCATCGATCCCTTCCCTTTTTCTTGACCTTGTAAGACCTTTTCTTGACCTTGTAAGATGTCATGCCAGGTCTGTTGTCTTTGTTTTGCATTTCGCCCCAAGTTCTGCATCGGAATTAACCGATATAGAGCTTGGCCTTTGTTCCTCATCGTTACCGCCCAATTCATCTTCTCCTTCCTTGTCTATCCCTCCTGAGCTGTTCCACAATTACCTCAAACTACAAGCCCACCATAGCAAAGTCTTCCATGAAAGCAAGGACTCTTTTGCTGGTGTTCCTCCAAGCAGGGTTGTAAAAAAAGTAGAAATTCAGAAATATTAATTAGCAGTGACATTCATATATGTTGTTTTTATTCAGTAGGAAATAAATAAAAATAAAATTCTATTTATTATTTATTTTTGTTATAATTGCCTGCAGCTGTTACTTATTCTGTGAAGGCAGAAAATACAGAAATATGCTGTTGGCAGTCATCAGTCATCAGTTTCGTTGTTTTATATGTTGTTGGCTGAGAAAGTAAGAGAATAAATATTCTCTCAGATCTGTGTAAGACTTCCCACTCGTGACTGCTGTTTTTTATTTTTTTCTATCTCCTTTTTCTCGAAAGACTTATTTGTAACCTGCACTGCCAGTAAAGTTCTTCATCCAAAAGCTGATGCCCCTTTATGTTAATTTTCCTTTTGTTTATGTTGATTTTTTGGTTAATTTTATCCCTCGTAAATGTGCTGAGCTGGGAGTCTGATGAGCTCAAAAATGGGGTGATTTCTCTTGTTTATATATTAGCTAGTTCTTATCAAATGAATTCATCTACTCACAAATGCCAAAGTCATGGTCATAAATGGACAACTTGGCAGCGTTTTCACCCAAATCTAGGGTTTGCGAGTACTGTAGTTGATAACTCAAATTAAGGTTTGCTGAATTTAACGGCTAGCCCTGCACCAAATTTTTTTTTAAAAGAACTTAACAAGTAATTAGATTTGGCAAACGAGTCGTGTTTGTATCGTTTGCGTAACGAGTCATGTCATGTCAAACCTATGATCTTAACAGATAACTCGATAACAACCCAAGTAGTTAACGGATTGACCCGAAACTCATTATTTTTGTATTGTTTCCTGTCGGGCTAACTGGTCATGCAAAAAATTGTCAGACCTACTACTAATGACACTTTACAACACAAATACGTCTATGTCTCATAAGTAAAAAGGTTTGTAATTAACTCAAATGATTCATTTCGTTTACTCATACACACAAAATATTATAATGTTCAAGTCTCCTCTATATATTGATTTATAATGCTCATAGCATGGTAATTAAGAAATGTCTGTTTCCCCTCGACAATGGCCAAACCTAAGAGAAGCCTTTACCTAACCTCATACCGGGGTAGAAAATGATGAACGTACCATATATAGCTTTAGACAAACTGTTTTTTATCTGTTATTTTCCTTGAACCAAACATTGGATATTATTTATTGATCGAGATTCCCATACTAGATTGGGAATATATGTCGGCATGTATTGAAAAAATTTACATGCCTTGTCCACGCTTAGGTTTTGCCAGACCCAACAATCAATCAATCATTCATGGCAAGTGCTACGGTATATACAGTAAAATCTCTATAATTGAATATTCTTGAAACTAAGAAAAATTATTATATGTGAAAAGTTATTGTTATATCAATAAATGAATAATTTATTAATTTATCAGCAAATGAATATTATTATTATTATTTTTTGTTAAATGATAAATTTTGTTAGATTAAATGTTAGATTTGTCATCGATAGGAATTCAAACCCACGCCGTCATGTAAGATTTAACTCATTTCTATCACTGTGGTAAATGGCTACTTGTGAATATTTATTAATTTAAAAATATTTTTTGTTTTGTTCTTTTATTACAATTATTTTTTAAACAAAAATACATGTATCTTATAAAAACAACAATTATAAGCATGCCTAGTCTCAAGAGTATATGACTTCAAACTTCTAAGTAATTTAAGAACTAAAAGATCAAGTGTTTTTCAAACTTAATGCCCTGGAAGATATAATGTATTTTAGAAGCAAATTTTGAGAAAGAGTTGAATTGAGAAAATAGAAGTTGTTAAAGTAAAAAAATTCCTAGATATGTATTATGAATATTTATGTGTTATTTCATTTATGTATTTTGTCAACTATTAATTTATATATTCGTTGGACCTTAAAATGTACTTTAGTACATTGGTCTCAGTCGGGATGAACAGAATTTATTATTTCATCGAACATTCATTTATCAAGATTTTACTGTATTCTCTATTTGTGCGTATTTCAATTTTCAATGTGTCACCAAAATGATGTTTTTGTAGTTTCTGTGGAATTTTAGTTGTTATTTCTGTGCATGTAGTATAATTCCTATAGTGAAATTTCCAAATTCTATTTGATCAAACAAATTAGGTTATAATGCAATTATCTATTAGGCGAAAATGGCAGACTAAACTATGATGATATGGGAGAAGAAAATGACTCCAATGCATAAAAATTTGAAATATTTGTCAATATCCAAAAGAGTTCAAATAAGGTGATTTGACCAAGTAACTATCTTCTAAGATGTTAAATCCTAAGTGGGATGTCATGTAATTAAATTTGAAGGTAGGAACGAGCTCCAACCGATATGTCAATCCTATGAGAAAATGTGATGTTAAATAATTTTTTTAATTATTTTATTGTGTGGGTCTCATTAATGCACCAATTATAGATCTTGAAAATTTATTAATTGATTTAAAAAAAAAAATTGGTCCTACAAATATCATTTAAAACAATAAAACATATGGGTTGAAGGAGGAGGAAATTTGACATTGCCACATCAGCCATCAAATTAATATTTGAATTTTTCTTTTGACATCTCTATTGAAAATACTCTAACTAAAGGTAGGACGGATTTTCTCTGTCTAATATTAAAAGAATATCTCTAGTTTGAATTTTCATTTTACTTCTCTTGTCAATTAAATCATGATCTAGTTAGCAGTATTTCTCATTCTAGTATCAAAAGAATATGTTGAAAAAGATATAGCACTTGTCAATTCTCACAACTCATTTTGAGTTTAATTTGCAATCTTGTATAAGAGTACGAGAATCAATAATCAGAAAGTATGAGGGACATTCTTAATTTTGCTTCTTGCTCAATTCAATTCCAAACTCCTATTTAATCAATCTTACTCTTTCCGACTATGATTCTAACTACGCAAACACGTCCTTACGGTTTATTTACGTTTCTTTGCATGTGGTATAATATTCTAGTGAATAGGGTGTTGTGTTTTTACCTATGTATCTTGGGTTTAAAACTCTGCCCCTCCTCTAAATTATTATAATAGTTTCGAACTCTTCTCCTCCCTCTAATAATAGTAAATTCAAAAGAAGGATTACGCTTCTTTTAAGTGACATCCAAGCAAATATAAGTAAGAAAAAAGCTAAAAACTAAACAAAAAGTAGTTGAACAAATGAGCGTGAAATTGGCATAACTAAAATGATAAATGAAATTGAATTTGGCCAAGGCAGTGATGCATTTAGGTTGAACAAGCAAATTTGGTAGTAATTATTGGTTGGCATAGTTTTTTTACATGCTAAAAGGAGGGTCAGAGGGATGGTGGAGACTTGTAGCACAAAATGATGGTGTCCACAAGTGGAAATTGAAAAGCTAAATTCCTTTTTAACCTTCTACATGACTTATTAGAGCTGAGTGTGAGTGAGTAAGAAGAAAACTTGGTAGAAGCAAATCTCATCATTTCCTTCATATCCCACTTGAGACTCTGTGTCGGGTTTCACCAGCATATGGGGTCCATTTCTTTCAAGCTTTTTTCCTCCTTTGGGTGACATGCTAATTAACATGCATGGCTCTTCCTATATCTAGGGTTTTATTTTTTTTCCTACTTCCTCTCATATCATATCTGTGAAAGACAAGTGAAAAGTATTACATGTCAAGTTAGTCTAGTAGCACTCGGTTTTTATTTGGTTCGAGGTTCTTCTCACATAACTACGTTACTGCAAGAATGTTATATGTTTTTAGTGAATCGACACTAAGTTTTGTGCCGATTTATTCTATCTTATTATGTGTAGCTTATAGCTAATTTATCAAATGTAATGGTCCTCGACCATGATCACGAATGTCGTTGTTTGGTTGTCAGGAGCATTCACTGCGTGTGTTGAATCATAAAATGTAGGAAAGTTCAGGTGATTTGTAGCTACACTGCGGTTTATGCAGAGCTGAAGATGCAGGAAACTATACCACACTCCAGTAGGGTAACAAAGACCTGGGAATGTCTTGTGTGCTTGACTGCTTGCAACCCCATGGTAGTACCAAGTTTCTTTCCGGCTATTGTAATACGTGGCTGTTATGCGCAACTTACATGTCACGGGTGCTACCGTGGCATCTTGTGTCTTTCATAAAGCGTTGTATCATTGACACGAGACATCACAATGGTACTCGTAACATGTAAAGTGTAGGCTTAAGAGGGAAGAACAAAAATAGTGGAATGCCTAAAGGATTGAGGGCTCGTTTACTAATCCGTAATCAAATTGAGATGAATTGAATTAAGGAGGAATTGGATTGAGGAGGAATTGAAGTGAGATGGAATTAGAATCAGATTCCTGTTGAAGTTATTTATTAAAACTGTATGGAATCGGAGTAGGAATGATGTTGAGTCCATATAAGTTGTTTACTAATTCACTTCAATTGGAATGAAAATTAGGTTGATTACTATATTATCCTTATATAAATAAATTATTTTCATACTAATTAATTAAATTAAATTCTTAATTAAATTTATATAATAAAATTCATCTATATAAAAATATATAAATAGGTTTTATTTATTTATTAAAAGCTGGCAGGAATGATGTTGAGTCCATATAAATTGTTTACTAATTCACTTCCATATAAATTTTGTTTTATACTATTCATAATTTTTTTTCCCTTCACCCAATTCTTTTTTTCCGCTCTTGGACCGTGATACTCTTTCTTTATCATTCCAAATTCTTTTTTCATTTCTTTTCTCTCCATCTTCTTCTAGAACCTCCTTCCACCGTGAATCTCTTCTTTCTCATCCCCAATTATTTTTTTTTCTTTTCCTTTCTCCATCTTCTTCCCCGTCATCCTTGCTCCCTGATACTCTTCTTACCATCTCCCAATTCTTTTAGCTTCCTCATTTTTTTCTTTTCTTTTCTCCATCTTCTTCCTTGTCGATTCAATGCCAGATAAGCACCAAACGAGTTACAAACCCAGTTGTCGCCAACAACAACCTATTCTTCACCAACTACATCTTCGAAACCCATCCTGACAAAATCATCATGAACCAGTCAGCTTGAGCCCCGTCATCGCTGGTGGACGGGATTAAGCTGGAGTTGGCACTCTGCTGAAAGGCATAAGGACATGGGTAGTTTGGGTAGAAAAGTTGGATTCTTGATAGAGGCTTCTCCCCGGAATCCAAATACCACCTCTATGGATGGGATCCAATTCCGAGAGATTTAGGAGTTCAATTCCTGATTTTGTGTGAGCCCCACCTTGCTTCCGATTACTAAAATGTTGGTAAACGGTTGAATGCCTCAAAAAAAGTGCAAATATGTTTCTTTGTATTCCATTCCAGTTAAGTAAACACGCCTTGAGGGGTCATGTGAGACCCTCAGA